CCCAATTTCTCCTTACGAATTTGTTTCAACAAATGTAGCATTCCTAATACTTGCTCCATGGTACGAAGCTCTTTTTCATCCTTAAATAAAGAGAGAGTACAAACAGTCTCACTTATTAGAGTACTTTTTATTCAAGAAATCCAAATTCGAAAAAAAAAAAAAACTGTACAAAATAAAATTAAATCAGAGATGAATTCGAGTTCCTCTGTTTTCAAACAGCAACAAAGATAACTTATTATTACGAGGAGTGTCATCCGATAACACTTCAAAGAAAAAATATGTCACACAAATATAGTACTATTTTCTAGAAAATAACATGTATTCATCAACATGTCAATACAACTTGAGAAAAATACAAAGTAAATATCAATCAATATTATTCTAAACATGAAATAAAGCATTAGAATTGCCACAGACTCTAGACGGAAATCCACATATAAAATGTAGCTAGTTCTAATAGTAGACCAACATTGGTCGCACAAAATTTTATATATGCCACCGTATCATTGGCGAATTAGTATCATGGTCAAAGTATGCATTAGATGGTGATAGGAGGATGTTGATTAGGGGCGGAGCTAGAGGCTCACATATAAGTACGGACGAATTCAGTAGTTTTAATACAAATTTAATATTCGAATACTAATTTATGATGTTATTCTAGAATTTAGAACACATAAAATTCGGACCTCGGCTCCGCCTCTAAGTTGATAAGGCCTTAAGACACATACGTGGAACATAAAAAGTGTTAAAGCTTCTATTGGAAGGGCAAAGGAGGAAAAGGGTTGATTGGGTTGTTAGTTTAATAACTTTTGTGTCATTTCTTGGCTTTAAAGAGGGTCATGGATTGAGCGTGAGAAAAATGCATGTCCCTCAGTTTTCAGCCATATAATAAATTAAATCACTTCAAAATCCTTCTTTATTCACCAGACGAAATAGACCAAACCATATTTGGAATTTGGCCTACCAAACTATATTATATTCTAAATTCAAATGTACGGTTACGTTTATAAAAACTAAAGAACCATGTGGTAAGTTTTGTGCATATTCCGTTAAAAACTTTTTCCATAAGCAAGGACGAAAGTAGTTTGCTTATGTTTACCCTCAAAAAAGGGATAACGATTAAATTTGTTAGTGGTTTTAAGCGGTGGTAGACTTAGGATTTTGTGTAATCCGGTTCAATCTTAGAAGTACATAACTTTAGTCTTAAAATAGTAGTTGTCAAGTGGATTTCAAATAAAATATTTATACAAATTTATGCAGCTTTAATCATAATTTATACATATACATAATATTAATTTTTGATGAAGCAGGTTCAGTTGAACCCGCTAGCCACCACGTGCGTCCGCCACTGATTTTAAGGATACGCGGATTAATTCGATACAAATGATAAATTGCGTTAGATTAAACGAATAAAGATATAGTAAATTCAAACCACATGAGGAGGATGGTTCCAGCCTCAATGAAATATCCACTTTCGATCCGGGCTCACAATGGCTAGTACTGATGAACAAGAAAAAGAGCTTTCAATACAGTAAAAAATAGTAGTATATTGCTTTGGGATGCGTGTTACAATGTGCCTAATGAATTATCAGATCTCCCTTTATATAGTAGGTAAATCCTATTCTAGGTACAATTCCCTAAAAAGTGAAAAGATCTTCTGTTTAACTGATTGCCGGTTCTTTATCAATACGTGTCGAGATCCACGCCGTGATATCCGGCCGGTTGCGAATATTACGGCCTTCTGTTGGTTGTGCTTGATTGATTGACAATGTTCTTCGAAGTCTTTCGGGGTTTGGATGGATCCCGGATCATGACCCTGATATTCTCGAGGGCGAGTGTCATGCCCCCCGACTCTGACACGATGAGACCCTTGCCTTGATTCCGGTCCCTCGTCATCATGTCTCGAACTCGGTTTATCCTATCGGAGACCGGAATTTACCATGGGTCCGATTTTACCCGTATACAGCTTAAAAAAGATAGTGGGTGTGGCATATGCAGAATTTTGCATAAACAACGTTACGATACATAACAATTCTTTTTCTTGTGCATAGGTTTGAATTTGAAAAGCTTTACTTTTTATTCCAAATTAAATTTACTTCGCATTATTTTTCAAACGATGTCAACATATTGTACGTGTACATATTATTTCTTATAAAGTATTTTGTAGTTATATTTTAGTTTTTACATAGCCCCTTGTTCTAAGTTGTCTTGCAATGTTACTCTTGAGTTGAATTATGTGGCAAGCCACTATCATCTGACTCAAAAAGGTGCCCTGGTTTCTTGCAATATTCTATTCACAGGGAAATTCTGTGAAAGTACCAAAAACCGCCATCTCTAACTACAACTTTCTTTAGAAATGGGGCCAAAATTTTGTGCCATTAAAGGGGTGGAGGGTCCTTAAGATTGTCTTGTAAGGGTCATCTTTAACCTCCGATAATGCTTGTGTGTAGTACAACTGCAATGAGCCAAACACACATGGTGGTGACCACATTTTATTAACTCCCAATTCACCAGTTGTCCAACTATGGGTTTAGCCGAATCCAATAACTTTTGCTTAAAATTTATATTTATATTAATAAATTCATTAAATATGTATAAATATTAAATTTAAAACTCAGTTATTCGCACTTGAAATCATTATTTTAAAATCCAAATTCTATAAAATTGATATTATGGCTCGCCTCTATTGTCCTTAAATTAGATGTCAAATAAGATTAGTAGGTAGGGGACATAGGCACCTTGCTTGGAGCGGTATCACGTGACACCAATTTGTCAAAAAAAAAAAAATTAATCTGTATGTGTAAATAATAAATAAAATTAAAATATTGGGTATAAATAAATAAAATGACACCGCTTGCCGTTACAATAATCTATTCATTTATTTACTTCTTCAAATATTGATACCGCTTACAAAAATTTCGCCGGGCTGCTGCAAGTACGTGATGGTGTGACTAGTGAGCTTTTTGATTGCTCAAGGACAAATGAGAGTGGAGCTGGCATTTAATTTGTACATAATCATAAAAAAAATCTGCTGGCATATTAGCCCACCATATATATGGAATGATGGAACAAGCAATAGGGCTCAATTCCCTTAGGCCATTAATTTTAGGTTGTGTGCATATGTGATCTTAGATTAACTAAAGCCTTTGTAAAAGTGACTATAGAAAGCATATTCTCAAAGTAAAGTACATGCATTTCTGCACAAGGTACAATGACAATTAGCTGAAAGATAGTTTGTCATATATGTTGGAAAAGTGGGCTTGTCCCACATCGGTGGTGCAAGGCCACTTTGTGTGCCTTTTAAGTCCTTGTCCTTTTATATGTTTAATTTAGAACACATACTCTTATATGTGTGCAAATACATATATATTATATATTATATAATATTAATATCAAAGACTTGGACTTGGACTTGGGGCCGGATCGGACCTAAAATAAATATTTTATTTTTATTTATTTCTACAATTAAATCTGTTTTATTTTAAATTTATTTGAATAAACAGATGCGTCTTTTTATGAATGAACACATCTTTTTGAAAAGGTCCGATGGTTGCCTATAAATAGAAGTTCTTCCAACAAAGTGGAGATAGAAAAAATTTGCAGTATATTCTTGGCTTGTTGTATCCTGAAGAAGATTGTTTGTATTTCCCCAATTTGTATACGGGCAATATCTTCTTTAAGGAAAGTCGTTATCACGCCTCAAGCCTTCTTCAATTTCGTTTTCAATTATTATTTTTCTAACATTAGCATGATTGACAAAGCATTGCATAACGCACTGATCACCATTGAACCAGTCTTACTTGAGATTGACAATATTTCTTCCCCTCTTTTGTCAATGAATTATTAGTAGTAACACCACCAAAGGATGTGATTATTTGTATTAACACCACCAAAGGATATGGTGCAGTGGATGGGACTGCTATTCCCTTAATCAGGGGTCTCGGGTTTGAGCCCTGGGTATGGAAAAATCCTTGGTAGGGAGCGCTTCCCCTCGTATAGGGCCCTATGCGGCGCGAATCCGGATATAGTCGGGCTCCAATACAGGTACCGAAAACCGAGTGGGAAACCAAAAAAAACTAGTATTAACACTATTTTGATGAAGTTAATTGATGTAAAAGATTGTCAACATCTAAATTAAACGAAATTACCCTTTCAAGAATTTTTGTGCCCATTAAGATAACTTAATATAAGTGCAAAAAATTTGGAGAGGGGGCTTCATCTGCAGAAAAAGAATTGAGTACATCTCGTGAACAAACAAAGAAGATGAATGATGATCTTTTAGATGGTCCTCTTCAACTTTTCTCTTAGCTTACCTTTCTCGTGAGAGCTTCTTTTTATCCACTTACTAATCAACTTTCATTTTCAACACTTCATTTTAAGTAAACCTCTTTAATTAAGGTTAGATGGATTTTTAGGTAATAATTAGTCAATCACTATGTAAGACTTACCAAAAAATAAGTGGGGCATTGATTTACATGGCTTGTGTAAATTGAACCATTCGTATCTACATTGGTGACTCAAATGGGAATAGTAAGTGAAGAAAAAAGAGAGAGAGAGAAAAAGAGAGTAAATACTACTGTTAGGGTCGTATGGTTGGGAAATAAGTTATCATAGGATAAAATAATACTATAATTCTGGGATAACTAATCTTAGAATTAGTTATACTGCACTTTTATTTCAACCAAACATGTGATAAACTCATCTCAAATTTAATCCAATAAAATTCTACAAATGGGGTCGGGAGAGGATGGTGTATACGCAGATTTTATCCTAATATGGATTAGATGTAGCTTCACACTAACATTCATTTGATTAAAGATATTTGTACACCATCAGGTTAATTTCAATGGAGAAAGTGTATAATCTTTTTTTCTTTTTTTTTTGGTAATTAAACTTTTTCATTACCAGGAAAAACATTTACAAGTAAATCAAACCCTTACAAGTTATCCTGCTTTCTGTACTTCACCCTCCCCATTTTCTATTATTTACACATTGCCTATCTATTTCATTGGGTACCAGTCAAGTCTATGTAGTATTTTCTCTATATGCCAACTGCTTCGACAATGAAGCTCTTGTATAATCTTCTTACATATTAGTTCCCACCCTTTCACCTTAGCTTGAAAAGTTCGAGCATTCCTTTCTTGCCACACATAGTGCACTGTTGCTGCCAGTGCCATCTTGTATAACTCAGCAGCTGCTGTTTTCCTCTTGGTCCGCTTCTCAGCCCATCGTAGTTCCTCATCCCAGTCATTTACTGATCTTTTAATCCCTTGCCATACTAACAGTGTGCTCCATAATGTATTTGCATATGAGCATTCAAAGAACAAGTGTTGTATGGATTCGTTGGCTTGCTTGCACAGAACACATTTTTGATCTACTTGCATTCCCCAACTCTGTAGTCTATGTCTTGTGTATAATTTCCCATGTGCTACCATAGTTAGTATAAAGGTCCACCTGGGGCATCCTGTGTTGTGGCAGACGACTCTTCTCCAACTAACTTTATCAAATCTTCCTCGCAGTTTGTGGTATATGCTTTTGATCGAATAGTTATTCATCTTCATGATATCATCATAACTAAAGCCTGCTTCCATAAATGTCTTCTTTGCCTTCATGATTTTGCTCACCATCCAAGATGTTTGTTTCAGTTGAACATCCCATATGTGTCTGTCTTTGATGTAGTAACTATGCATCCACTGTATCCATAACTTCTTCTTTTCTTTGCACAAATTCCAGTATTGTTTACATATGGCTGCTTTGTTCCAGTATAATCTTTTAACATCGTTAAATTTATTTATAAGTTGATTTACAATAATAGATAACAATTCACAGTAATTCCAATATGGTAATCAAAAAATATAATTACTTATATATTTTAGAACCAAAAAAAATTATGTTGTTAATGTATATAATTCAAATATTTAATTTATTATAATTATGGACTACTTCCTTTTTAATAGAGGTCGACTATATACACAGACATTGTGCAGCAACAATTATGATTGTTTCTATAATTAGCATTGAAGAATGTGATGTTTCTACAAATAATATAAGAATTGAAAGATTGTCTTGTCATTGTACGTAGACAAAAAAACTTCAAAAAATTCAAGTTAGATTAATTTAATAATTTACAAATAATGCCTTAGGATCACTGAAATCAAAGTTCCTTGTTGCTTTATGTCATGTGATGAGAGCTGTTCACATGAGTCTTTGTTGAAATTACGAGAAGATTTGCAATTCGCAATAGAGTTTTGAGGATCTAGTCACATGTCAATTAAATAAATTGAAAAGTATACTACAACAAGAGAATAAGAATAATAAAGCCTACTCCATAATAATTAAGTAGTTACAATAATTTTTCTAATAACAAAAAGGGCTCTCTGATTTTTTTTTTTTTTATTAATCTTTGTGATCTGATCAAATAATTAACTTAATAATAATCTTGAAATAGTTTGTCCAATATATATCACGATCGAAAAAAAAAGCTAATTAGTGAATAGATGATCTCACTTTTGGTCACGAGGGGATGATTGCTTTTTCTTTTTCTTTCTATTTATACAATAATGATGTTTTATCATCTCTTTTCTTTTATCTTTTTTTCAGTCACATGATCACATGTCATCAAAAGCTTTAATTCATTTTACTTGTAGAGGAGGTTACCCTAAAGTGAAAAGAGAAAGATCAAAGAAGAAGATAATTACTGAAAAGTAAAAATCATCAATGAATTTTTTTTTTTTAAAAGAAAGAAAAAGAGAGCAAGTGATGATCTTAGAAGGAAAAAAGATCACACAAGACTTTGTTCTATCTTTAGAGCAAACAAAGAAGAGAAGGTGCAATCATTGGATAATATGCACACAATGGAGACAACACAAGGTGCTCATGTGATGGTTCCCTACCCTCAAACCCCACCCTCAAGAGCATACCTAGCTCATAAGTAGGGTGGCAAACCACCGGGTTGGATCGGATATGGACGGATCGAAAACGAGCAATATATCCACGACTTCTTGAATATAATCACTTTTGAGAAAATTTCTAGTCTCTCAAACTTGAGGAACCCTAGTTTGAGGCTTTACAAATGTAAAAGTTAAACACATTAATTATGCATTAGTTATCCATTTTCTAAATGGATAATATGGTTCTTATACATATTTGACCCGTTTTTAAAAAGTTCATTATCCAATCCATTTTTTAGCAGATAATATGGGTGGATAACTGTTTTCTTTTAACTATTTTACCACCAGTACTCATTAGTGATATATGCGTTCACGTAAAATCAATAATTTTGTATTTAAATTTTATATTTGTATTAAGATATTTATTAAAAATTTATAAATATTTAACCGTAATATAATAATAATAATAATAATTATTATTATTATTATATATTAATTTAAGATCACTATAGAAACTCATTAACTTCAAATTCTAAATCTGTTTTTGTCCACCCCACACCCTCCCACCCCACACCCTCTCAAAGACAAAGAGACACACAGTATCACATTCTATATGGTGTTATTAGCACAAGAAGAGGAGGGCCAAGGGGTCCAATGGTTTTCAAGAAGACAGCAATATTAGGTTCACAAACACGTGAATTGCTTTTGCCTTAATTTTGGTGTCCCTTAAAAATGTCTCCTCTCTCCATTCATCTCATATGTTCATCACAACTGCAGCTGCAATACAAAAATAAAAAATAATTGATTTATCCATGATCTGAAGTTTATGGGCTTCTATCGTAATTTTAAATAAATTAATATATAATAATAATTTGATTCACAATTAGACATTTATAATATTTGGTGGATTTTATAATAGAAATACAGTGTCTATGCAAAATTATTGGGTGAAAGCGTCAGAGCTTCGAAAGCCTGAAATTGAGTGTCCTTGAATTGAGCATGTCGTATCCTTCCCAACCCAAGCAATGTCACCACCCTTCTTCGCATCATTTACTAAAGCACTGATCTCATTATTGCCTATTCTAACAAAACCACCCATCAGAACCTAATAAGAACACTCTAGATCCGCCACTGGTAAAGATCTGAAGCTAGATGCAATGATAAGGTCCATAGCTAAATTACTATAATTGTTGGTAAAGGCTAATAAATGAAAGATATACATGTCATTTATTCAATGATTTGCTGTAACATTAAGTATAAATAATTTTTTTAAAATCACAATAATATAACTGCAAATTGTGAACATATTTAACTAGTGAGAAAGAATTTTATCACGTGCTGGACAGTTCAAAGGTTGAAATTCTCACGTGACAAAAAGTCTGCTTCCATCTTCTAGACCAATATACCCATTTCAGTATATTGGGCAGTAAATATTTTTAATCTCAAACTATAACATATTAGGAGGACTTTTTTTTGTAATTCTCTATATATGTCTCGTTATTTTACCCTTGACATGCAACTGATGAAGATTAACTGAGTCACATAGTTATGATTTAATCCAGACATACTTAAAATTCAATAACTTTCTTATACTTACAAACTTCGGTGCAAAATTATTGTGTGTGTCATGTTGTTCACAAAAATTTCTTAATCAATCTAAGGATATATAACGTCAATGATCGGAAAATGGAGGACGCAGATTTCAGATTTGCATATGTCCAAATCCAAAACATAATGGGGGATTGGGCTTTTTCATGGTAATCCTAATATGGGCTATGCTTGTCAAACATAGGCCCAATATGTCTAATCGGTTAAAAAAAGAGAAAACTACCCTCTATAGCCCATGTTTTGGATTTGGACATGTTTTGTCCTACTTACAAAAAATGGCCCTTCGGCCCAAAAGTATTGCATATAGTAGCCGGAAGGAATGAGCATGACAACATAAGCGCCTGTAACTCAATGGATAGAGCGCCTGTTTCCTAAGCTGAAGGTCGTAGGTTCACCCTGTCTGGCACGATAGAGCAACCCTTTTTTGCAATGTATAAATATTGTATCCTAAGTTCGACAGTGTATTCTTGGTGTATATTGAGCCTATCTCGAGTGTGTTTGTGTATCTAAAGTGTATATATTTGTGTACCCCAAATGTATTTTGTATCGTGAATGTATAATCTGTCGGAACAATGTATCAAAATTGTATATAATGTGTATTTTCAAATATGTAAACATAGTGTATATAAATTATGTACAATTTGGTATGTGTAATGTGTGCACACTGTGTATCTGGAGTGTATCATGTATTTTTGTATAGTGACAGTCTTTTTTGTATATATTTTGTATAGTGACAGTCTATTTGTATATTTTTTGTACAGTGACAGTCTATTTGTATATTTTTTGTATAGTGACAGTCTATTTGTATATTTTTTGTATAATGACAATCTATTTTGTATATTTTTTGCATAGTGACACTCTATTTGTAAATAAATTGTATAGTGACAGTCTATTTGTATATAAATTGTATAGTGACAATCTATTTTGTATAATTTTTGTATAACAACAGTCTATTTTGTAGATATTTCAACTTTTTTCATAGTCATCTCCTCTGTTCTTCCTCTCATTGAGAAACCAGCCACCGGCGTCCATGGCCTCACAATTGCCGAAAATGGTAACAAGATCGCCGGAGTTTTAAATTTTTAGCCAAAGATCTTCAAAATATTATCTACATATTTACAGAAACTATAAGAGAAAATCAGAGAAAGAAGACAAGGCTGTCTCTCTCGTTGCCTTATGTTACACACTGCTCCTCTCGCTTTCCTCTTCTTCCCTATAGGTTGCTGCTACTGAAATATGTTGACGTACAGGAACATTTGCAAGAAATATGTCACGAAGAATACTTAAAGCTCGGGCTCCCTTCTAAACTGGACCAAGGACACCTCTTCTTTCTCCATTTTTATAAGCTAAAGCTAAAATACACAGCAGAAGTATTTTAGGATCACAGCAAAAAGAAAAAGTATTTTAGGAAAAGCGGTAGCAGAAGTAGGTACTAATATAAATACTCCGTAGCGATTCCTAATAAGCAACAATACGAAACCCTAGACCCAAAAATCAGAGGAGGGGAGCAATAGCCAAAGCCATCAGCAGACAGCAGCGGTGTTTCAATTTCAATGTCAACATTCAAGGCTAAAGGAGTGATCTATTTTTACAGTGTAGCTCGTGAGTATGAATGGTATCGTATTGATTTAGAGTCCTTGCCGCGAGAAAAACTTCGTCCTATTGCCGGCGGCTTCATTCTAGAAGTTTCCGGCTAGCACTTGTCATTATTTTTAGGCTACGACTTGTATGGGTTAATTTGTGGGCTACCGGTTAAAATTTGTTTTGCCCGATGGGCTATAAATGAAGTTCTCTCTTAAAAAAAAGGTTTAGCCATAAAGATTCCGGTTAAAGAGAGTTCTAACATGGGGATTCGGTTGAAAGGCCCAATTTTGCAAATTAGACCCAATTTCAAACTGAAGCTTCTCATTTCTCTCTTGGGACGTCTACAAAATGAA